TGCTCCAGCACATCCCCAGCTCTCAAGAGGGCAGCTGAGTCACTGGGGATCTGTGGGGGCTTCCCAGCACCTGCCAGGCTGCCTGGGAGAGACCTTGGGATCAGGCACCTGCCTGGATTCTCTTGGGTTTGTTACCTGGACTACTGTTATCAGCTGCCCCTCATCCTGAAGACTCCTGGGAACAGACCACTGATGGCACCGGCCCCGCTGCCCCCCTGCCCGGGAGGAGAGGGGAGAAGGGACACACTCGGGGTCCCCGTGTCCCCCACGCTGTCCCTCTTCAGATTCCGTGCCCCCGACCCCTCCAGCCACCCAACTTACCCATGGTGGGCTGGCCTGGAGGGGGAGCTGTGCCGGGTGTGCTCTGAGCTGGGACCTTCCTTTGGGGAGCAAGAACAGGAGTTTCTTCGTGGGCGGTGAGCAGGGCTGGAGGGCCTTTGCTGTCCTGCACGAACAGCCCCAGACACCCCCTCCCACCCAGGAGCCCCCGGCCACCCCACAAAAGCAGAGACCCGCATTTCTTCCCCGCCCAGGGCTCTCTGGCTGCTCTGCCAGTCCAGTGGGGTGAGCAGCCCCTCGTTTTTGCCCCCCCCCCTTCAGATAAGGGGTGCTGTCCCCAAACACCCATCGCGGGACCCCGACCCCCCACACCACCCACCTGTGCCCTGAGGGGCAAAGCGCTGCTGGAAAGGTCCCCCCAGGGGATGTCGGCACAGCCGATTGACGGGGAACCGCTCGCTGCCCTTTGTGTCAGCGTTACCTTTTGATGCTGCCGGCTCTGCTGGAGCGGGGCTGTTCCCGGGTGTTATAAACGAAGCTGGTAATCAAGGATTCTTAGCAGCAAGGCTGTTTATTCGATAAGGAATGAGTAAAACAGCGCTGGGTGCCAAAGGGAGCCTCAGCTTCACCAGCACACACTTCACAGAGGGCTTTGCAGCCCTTTTATACGTTTGTGCCAGGAAAGTTACCGCCCAGTTTCGTTTTCTGGGTTGTGACGTCACTTTCGTTTCTCAGACCCTTGGCTCTTTATTGGTGGTTTTAGGTGTCCCTCTGGAGTTGAGGGACAAAAGCTCAAGTCTTCCCTTTCTTGTCCTTTGATAACCTCTTTCTTTACACATCCATGTTTACCCGTTACATACATAAGCGGTGTATTTTCAAGTCTTATTTGCCTATAGTGATATGTTTGTCAAAAGCATAACTGCATAAGCATATTTAGCGGTACACTTTCATTGCATATTTGGCAGTTTGAATAAACACTCTTTATTGACACGAATCATCGCACAATTCCTCACACGGGGGTCGGATCCTCGGGCTTCCCCCGCGGGGAACGCTCTCCCCTGTCCCCTGGAGGGGACGGGAGGTGCGGGGGCCGGGGGGCTCCTCACCCCTGTGCCTTCCCTGGCAGCTGCGGCTTCACGGGGCGTTTCCCGAGCAGGTTTGGGACCGGCGAAGCTGCGCGGTGTTGATGAGGAGCCCGGGCAGTCTGAGCAGCGCTGGGACTTCCACCGGCGGGCAACGGAGCTGCCTCCGCTCCACCGGGGCTCCACACAGCCTCAAAAAGCAGCCAAAGCCCCCTTTTGCACCACCCCCCCCCCTCCCGCTCCCTGCACCCTCTCCTGACCCCGAGCCCCCTCAGGGCAGGACAGCGGCAGCCCCCGGGGCAGCGAAGGTCAGCGGGTGCCGTGGCTCACGCGCCGCTGCAGCTGGTTGAAGGGGACCAAATCCAGTTGCAAGTTGATCTGGTTCCTTTTTACCAGCCCCAGGGACGCATCGTCTCTCCGGAGGCGCCGCCGGGACGGTGCTGGTGATGTGGAATCCTGGCGTGGGGGTCCCAGCCCAAAAATACATACTTCTTAACATTCCATAACGCCGGCCGACTCCATATGGGCATATGAAGAAGTATGTAGGGTTGGGAGGGAGAGGTGGGCAGTGCGGGGCTGGGGCTGCCCGCTGCTCCCAGCCGTGCCCACCAGCTCCACTGGGATCCTGGAAGGAGCAGGAAGGATCCAGGAAGCACCTCCTGCCCACTCCCAGACCCAGCCTCGGCCCCTGCCCGGTGCAGCCCAGGCAGAGGCAGGGCTCCTACAGCCCTGCTGTGCCCGCAGCCACTCTCAGCCCCGGGCACGGAGATCCATGTTCAGAGAGCGAGGCAGTGCCACGGCCAACGCCTGTGCCTCGGACCCAGAGCCCCTCGCCGGCCAGAGGATGCTCAGGCTGCTGTTTTGGGGGGCAGCTGCCCTTTGAGGGTGGTCAGATGCTCCAGGCTGTGACAGAGTTTGTGGCAGTGGGGGCACCTGTGGGGCTGCACCCCCGAGGAGATGGGGGCACAGCCAAGGGCCGTGTCCTGTGAGCCCAGGCAGGCCAGCACGCACGGCAAAGGTGGGCACCTGTGCTTGGAGCTAATTCCACAGCAGGGGCCCCCATCGGCCCTGGCTCTTGGCTTGGCAGGGATCACCCCTGCTGCTGCTGCTGCTGCTGCTGAGCTGGGTCAGGATGCACCAGCTCACCTTCCCCATCACCCCACACCACCCCAGCACCCCCCAGGACCTCCCGCACCCCACATCCCCCTGTCTGTGTGCCAGAGCAGCAGCTGCAGCTCAGTGCAGCTGGGGCCAGTGTTGGGGGAGACCCACCTCCCACAAACCCCACCCTTGCCCAGAGGAGGACCTGGGGGTCTGGGCCCTCCGCACCCCCTCCCCACACCACAGCTCTGGGCCGGGGAGGCTGGAGATGCCTCTGCCCACGGGAGGGAATTCAGCTGAGAGCTCAGGGGCTTGAGACCATAATGGGGCTGCAGGGAGGCTCCCTGGCCCCAGCACAGTGTGGCCAGGGCAGGGACAAGGGCAGGACATAGGGACAAGTGTCACCATCACCCAAATGCACCTTCACCCCAGTGACCTTCCTTCTGCTAAATTTGCAGCTGGAGAGGGGCAGCAGGTACAGGGAGTGTCCTGTAAATTTGCAGCAGGTACAGGGAGTGTCCTGGGGTTCCCAGGGCTGTCCCCTGGCAGGACAGGGGAGCAAGGGGTGCCTGAGGGGCCCAGCCCCGAGCAGGAGGGATGTGGGGCTGGCCAAGCGTGGTGTGGCCGTGACTCAGCGCCGGGAGCTGTGGCCACACGCGCCGCAGCTCCTGCAAGGAGCTGGTGGGTGCCAAGTACAGCCTCACGTCACTGGCCCCACTCACAGCACCCACAGGCAGCAGAGGTGCTGCTCAGTGGCCCTCTGAGCCACCAGCTATTGCCATGGGGCACAGAGTGGCTGCCAGCACAGCCGTGGTCCCCCCAGGATGCTCTGCCAGCACCCCAGGACCTTCTGCATGGCCAGTCCCCAGGGATCAGCCCTGGGGATCCCAGACACGGCTCCCAGGAACCAAGACAAATCCCCACTAAAGCAGCAGTGGTGGAGCTGAGTGTGTCTGGCTGGACCAGCAGCCCTGTTTCCCCCAAAAGCAAACTGAGGGGTGTCCTGAGGCCAGAGGCTGCAGAGATGCACCCCCTTAACCCTTGGAGCTGTGCCGGCCCTGCAGTGCAGTGGGATGATGCCATAAGGTTTTTCTGTGGAGGTACCGGGTTCCAGGGACTGGTGGGGCTGTTGGGGTGCACTGGGAGGCAAAATCCAATGGCTGCACCCAGTCCAAATCCCGAAAGCCAGGGCACGGGGTCAGCGCTCCTGCCTCCCAGCCCAGTTCAGCTCCAGTCACCTCGGCTGACCTTGGCAGCCTCCCAGGACTTGGTACTAGAGGTACCCCAGCCCGGGGGGGCCACACAGCACCATCCTGTGGCACAGTTCCCACAGCCCTAGGCCGGGCTCTCCCAGTGACCTTGGAGGGCTGCACCCAGCTCTGCTGGTGTTCTCTGCATCTCGGGCTCCCCATCTCCCCCAGCCCCACCACCCCTCCTTGCCCCTGCCCTGTCCCACAGCCCGGCTCTGCCCCACTGCCCTCTCTGTGGCCAGACATCCCAGTCATCACAAGTCCCTCTGCAGTCTTGGAAGTGCCCCATCACTGCAGGCAGCCCCGAGTCCTCCCCAGCCCCAGCGCTGCCCTTGGCGGCTGCAGAAACGTCCCCGAGCCGAAACCCACCAGAGAGCAGCCCCTCTCCCAGGTCTTCTCTGCACCCTCACGTCGGCCGGCAGCCCCCGACCTGGGCAGCCCCCGACCTGGGCAGCCCCCGTGTTCTCCACCTGCCCGGGAGCAGCTCCCTGTCCTGGGCAGGGTGGTTTGTGGGCACAGGCGTCTGACGGCCTTGCAGGGGGAGGCAGAGGAGCCGGGGGGCTGCCGGGGCCGGCCGTGGTGGCACCCACGCGCCTGCAGGCACCCAACAACCCCAGCCTGGCTATAAAAGGAAGCGTCTTTTTTCCCCGCTCCGCCGGCGCCGCGTGTCCGGCCGCGCTCTGCAGCCGCTGCCTCGCAGGGGCCCTTCCAAGTTTTCCCCTCCAGCACTGCCCCCCCAGCCGGCTCCCCTCGCTCATCCAACCCCGGCAAACCCACTGCAGCAGCTGCTCCAGCTGCCGAGGGGCTTAAAACATACCAAGAGGCCCAGCGAGGAGGAGGGAGGTGGGTGTGAGGGGAGCTCTGGCACAGGGTGCCTGCGGGAGCACCCCGGCTCCCGTCCGGCCGCCCCTTCGCCTGCGGCATTGCCCGCCTCGGGGCTGCGGGGCCCTGGTGCAGCCGGCCGTGCTGGCCAGCGCTTCGCCCCGTGCGTGGCCGAACTGCGATGCCGAGGTGCCCAGGAGTTGGGTTTCCCTTCCCGCCCCATCCCACCGGCGTGGGGTGTCCCCGCGTTGCGTGGCCGAGGGCACCCCGGCTCCCTGGGGAGGGGGTGACCGGCCCCGCTGCCGGGGGGCACAGACGGGCCGGGTGCTGCCCACGGAGCCGAGCACCCACCACCCAGGACCCCCCTGCAGCCGGGGGTGCCCCGCTGCCCCCCCAACGCCAC